ACTACACACACACTACACACACACTACCACACAACACACATACACACACACTACACACACACTACACACACACACCTACACACACCTACACACACACTACACACACACTACACACACTACACAGAATACACCCACTACACGCACACACTACACACACTACGCACACTACACACACTACACACACTACACACACTACACACACTTTGCACACTACACACACTACGCACATTACACACACTACACACACTACACACACACACACACTACACACACTACACACACTACACACACTACACACACTACACACACTACACACACTACACACACTACACACACTACACACACTACACACGCTACACACACTACACACACTACACACGCTACACACGCTACACACACTACACACACTACACACACTACACACACTACACACACTACACACACTACACACACTACACACACTACACACACTACACACACTACACACACTACACACACTACACGATCTACAGCTACACACACTACACACTTACACACACTATTACACACACTACACACACTACACACACTACACACACTACACACACTACACACACTACACACACTACACACACTACACACACTACACACACTACACGATCTACAGCTACAACTACAACTTCACCAATTACACTAGACTACAACTAGAGCTACAACTACAACTTCACTACTTTACACTACTTTACGCTACACGACGCTAGACTACACTACACTATACTACATTACAGCACACAGCACTACAATACACTATATTGCACTACACTAATTACACCACACCACAGCTACAACTGCAACTGCGCTACACTAATTACACTACACTACACTACAACCACGACCCCACTCCACTACACCACACTACAACTACAACTACAACTACAACTGCACTACACCACACTACACACTGCAACTACTCCAACCACTCCAAAAAACACAACTCCAACCACCTTTCGGTCCATCAGTCGATTCGCTCTGCCACCAATGCGTCGCAACAACTCACCTCTCCTATAGTGTCCTACCTTTGAAACTTCCGCCACCGCCTTGTGCGGCACTACTGGTAATGATAGCAATGATGACAATGATCACCATGGGAATAAGGATCGTAAGGGTGATAGTGATTAAACATGTTAGTAATGAGATATATATATACACACATGAATGATATTCATGATAACCATGGTAAATATGATAATCATGGTACTAAGAATCATAATAGCAGTGTGTTAAAAGTAGATGATTTCAACAATGACAAAACAATGATGGTATTAACAATATACTTGAACATGTGACCAAGGTCATTTGATACAATCAGCCGCACCTGCATTTGAGGACATGTTGCGAACTTGCAAAATTTAGCACGTGGCGAAAACCTGCTTTCGCATTTGAAATTTTGCACGGGCAGGTCGGGACCAGACGGTAGCAGCGCCCTGGGTCCACGCTACATTGAGTGCTACACCTGGAGAAGAGTACCGAGTACCGAAGAGTACCGAGGAGTACCAAGGGCCACGGAACATCACAGCCAATTGCCGGATAAATTCAAACGGCGAATTTTTGATAGGGCACCCAACTTGAAGATGGTTGACGAGTGAACGTAGGCTATGAAAGTGACTAAACAGCACACAAAGTGTTATTGAAGGCCCAACCAGCAACCAGATTGATGTCCCCGCGGCTCGTTCTGCTAGCATCCCCTAAAGAACCGGTTGGCACTCTCGAGACACCTGGACAAACACACCAATGAAGTAACTCAGCAAATGTGAAGCAGAAACATGTTTCCAAGCTTGTGCGAGGTTCCACCCAAGACTTCCATTCGCCTACGTGGTGAACGAACTCTCTTCGGAGGACGGATATTTTGTTTCGATTTCAGCTAAGAATTGGGAAACGGTAGAGATGGATGAGCGGCCATTTTCAGGTATATATTTGGTTGAAAACATTCATATCACGGAAACTAGCTCAGCTAGCGGAAATTGTTTTTTCTTTAGTAAGGAATATGGCATGGATGAAAATCATGTTTCGAGTGAAACTTTACATAAAGAGGGAGTCCCCCCCGTCCTCCGTATTGTTGTCATAAACACATGGTTGTGGGTTCAAATCCCTCTGGGTGCATGAGGTCTCCCCCGGGTTCCTGAACTTTAGGTTCACATGATATTTGCTCTAGGCGCATTCTTTCCTCACCAAACCCCTACATACCATACATGATACTCCCGCAAAGCTTCCCTCCCCCAGCACACAGCACAGCACCTGCTTCCTGTCCACAGGTTTCAAGGCGAAACCTCCCTCCCTGGAAATTTCACCTGACGAAACGCAACAGGATAAGATCCGATAAGATCCGATAAGGATGTGCGCAGAATATTCTGCTATTGCCTCCTCTCAACCCAATGTGAATGTTTATGCACATTGGCCCCTGATTCTATCTCCCTGCTAGCTTTCGTCACCTACCCTTGGCCTCAAGTTGAAATATCAAGCGGTTCTCGACGAACATTCATTTTATTTGAAGCAAAGAATTCAACAAATGCTGACAGTGAGCTGATAGCTATTAAAAATATTTGGCTGTCATTCCTTGCTAATTTTCTGACACATTTGCTCAACATTTTTGCTGCAGTGTGACAGTCATACATGATTGCATAGCATAGGGCATAGGGTTTTGACATGTTTTGACTTATGTGTAGATTTTAGGCGTTAACCTTTTCAGATTTCTGGGCCGGAGTCCAAATCAGGTGGGCAGGCTTCTGTAGTAGCAACTCCATACCAGAACAAAGCAAACTAGCACCGCACAGGCTATACCCCTGTTTGAAGCTCCCAAGATTCACAAGTTTCTCAACACATCTTTATTTGCCATCAGCAAAGACGGACTTTGTGTCAGTTTAAGTCCAGCTTGAAGCATGTCTTTCAAATTCCTTTACATGCTTTCACAATGAGGCGGAAAGATGTTTGTCTTTAGGTGCCAGCTCCCCTACACTGCCCCATGCCCCATGCTGGTTTTATTTGTGTACGCCCGCACTGCATGTAGCTGTTTTGTTTTCTCCAGCAATGAATGCTACCTTGCAAAAAAAATAAATGTATGTATATATCTACACTTGCTATTACTAGTGGTCGTGTGAAGATAGTTAGATCGACATGGATATGATGGGAGCGGCTAAAAGTGTGATTGTATTTGTGCATGACCCACATGCTATGTAACTCACTATGCAACTCACAAGATATTCACCCCGCTTCGCGTGGGGTGGCCGCCCACACCGCAGGTTTATTTCAGTCCGTGAGAGGGGCTAAGGGTGGTTTTCCCCCGTGGGGGCTCCCCAAGCTAAGAATTTTCACTTTCCCCCCCCGTGGGGGCTCCCCAAGCTAGGGAATTTTCACTTTTCCCCCCCGTGGGGGCTCCCCAAGCTAGGGAATTTTTACTTTCCCCCCCGTGGGGGCTCCCCAAGCTAGGGAATTTTCACTTTTCCCCCCCGTGGGGGCTCCCCAAGCTAGGGAATTTTCACTTTTCCCCCCCGTGGGGGCTCCCCAAGCTAGGGAATTTTCACTTTTCCCCCCCGTGGGGGCTCCCCAAGCTAGGGAATTTTCACTTTTCCCCCCGTGGGGGCTTCCCAAGCTATGGAATTTTCACTTTTCCCTCCCTTGGAGGCTCTCCAAGCTGCGGAATTTCAAATAGCTAGACAACGACGCCTAGATAGTCCCCCAAATCCCGTGTTCTTTGAATGTGTTTCCATGTTTTTGCAATGGTTTCCTTCAAAGCACGGTACTTTACACTTTTGTCGCCATAAAACCGGTCGAAAACATCATGTTCGACAATGCTTCCAATTCCCTTATCTCCCCAACCGTTGAAAATACCGCTATTTACAGTGTTTTCTTCAATTTTTCCATGTGCCAATGCCGGTAGCCAACTCCAACATATATATAAGAAATCCTTCCAAAACATTTTTTTGACAGTGTTTTTCCAATGTTTCCAGTCAAACAGACGGTAATTTACACGTTTTTTGCAATAAAGGCAGTAAATCCTTCCAAAACATTGCTTTTGACAGTGTTTTTGTAATGTTTCCAGTCAAGCATACGGTAATTTACACGTTTTTTGCTATAACGTCAGTCCAAAACACTTGTTTTTGCAGTGTTTTCAATGCTCTGGCATCCAAAAACCCTGCAAAATCTTGCTATGTACAATGTTTTTTTCATTTTTGGCCGTTTTTCCATTGCCGGAAAGCTACCAAAATGACCCAAAATTCCATTTCAATACCCTCTTGCGCTCAGACACCCAAAAATCCTCGAAAAATGTCGAAAACACCACCGTATTCTGGTCTCGGTGCGAAACCGTTTTTGGCCCCCCCCAGCTAAAACTGATATAGCGACTGCTATATTAACAAATGTCATTGAGCATTTAGTGTTGCTGTTGCCCCCCAATAAGCACGCCTTCACCGCCAAAGCGGTGTGGGCGGATTTTGTTTTTGTACCATCATGCTGCGAATCTTTTGAATGTGCACTGTACCCTGCGTTCACAGAGTCTTCACAGAGTCTTTTGCTTCAATTTTAATTTGGGGATGCTATGCTGTGCAGTCTTCTCTCGAATTTTCCGCAAGAACTGTCTGTCAAGTCAAAGGTCTGCGGCGGTACAAATATGGGGCTAGTGAAGGCCAAAATTGGCCTGCGGCCTAAAGCTCTTGCTCTTTGCTTCCTCTTGCTTCCTCTTGCTTCCCCTTGCTGGCTCTTGCGTCTTGCTTCGTCTTGCTTGCTTCTTCTGCCTTTTTCTTCCCGTTCTTCTGCTTCTGCTTCTGTTTCTATGCTGCCTGCTTGCTTCTCTTTCTCCCCTTGCTGCTCTTTGTCGGCGCTTGCTGCTTGTATTCTCTTCTCTAACGCGCTTCCCCTTGCTGTCGGCAGGGGTCCGCGGATTCTTGCTCCTTCTTGCTCTCCATGCCTTCAAGTATTCTCGTTCTTCCCCTTCACTGAAATTCTCCTTCTGGCATTGCTTCTCTGGCGAGCTCCCCTTGGTTCCCTGGAGTCGGCAGATACCATGATGGTTCCATGATGGCTAGAATTTGCTACCACAGGTGGCCAAACTTTGCAAGCGAGCTGCTTGAAACGATGGGAAACGGGCAGAACAAGACGAGCTGTTACTGTTATGTACAGTCACCTTTTTTCTGCAAGTTGACGACAAACAGCAGTAGAAGAAATAAACATTTCTGCCTGCCAAATTTGCAAGAATCTCTTTTGGAGAAGAGGGTCTACCAAGATTTTTGGCCATATAGAGTGATGCTGATGCTTTAACTGTTGTGGGACTTCTTGTATCTTGTGGTTCTCTGTGCACTAGGTCTCTGTGTTTGCATTTGAGCGGGCAGCGGCAGAAGAACTTCTTAGGAGCAACTCGTTGAAAATGGTGTGAGCATGATGTAGCTTCACTGAAATGTGCTGGAGACTGGTACTGTATACTCTGGAGCCTTTCAGCTTTTGTTTTTGAGAGCGAGAAGGGGGGGATCGGACTCTGCCCCTGGTCCATTCACCTAGGTCAAGATGTTGCAGAAGCTGCTCCTACTTTGCGTTTGGTGCAGACTGTTGGAAGCACAGAGTGTACAGGAATGATGAAATGTGCAGCACAGCGAACAGAAAGTCAACAAATCTCAATGAGATTCACATATATGTATGATTGGGTGTATGTATGTATGTATGTAAGTATGTAATGTATGTAATGTATGTAATGTATGTATGGTATGTAATGTATGTATGGTATGTATGGTATGTATGGTATGTATGGTATGTATGGTATGTATGGTATGTATGGTATGTAATGTATGGTATGTATGGTATGTATGGTATGTATGGTATGGTATGTATGTATGGTATGTATGGTATGTATGTATGGTATGGTATTGTATGGTATGGTATTGTATGGTATTGTATGGTATGGTATTGTATGGTATGGTATTGTATGGTATGGTATGGTATTGATTGTATGGTATTGATTGTATGGTATTGATTGTATGGTATTGATTGTATGGTATTGATTGTATGGTATTGATTGTATGGTATTGATTGTATGGTATTGATTGTATGGTATTGATTGTATGGTATGTATTGTATGGTATGGTATGGTATTGTATGGTATGGTATGGTATTGTATGGTATTGTATGGTATTGTATGGTATTGTATGGTATTGTATGGTATGGTATGGTATGGTATGGTATTGTATGGTAATGTAAGGTAAGGTAAGGTAAGGTAATGTAATGTAATGGTATGGTATGGTATGGTATGGTAAGGTATGGTAAGGTAAGGTATGGTAAGGTATGGTAAGGTATGGTAAGGTATGGTAAGGTATGGTAAGGTATGGTAAGGTATGGTAAGGTATGGTAAGGTATGGTAAGGTATGGTAAGGTATGGTAAGGTATGGTAAGGTATGGTAAGGTATGGTAAGGTATGGTAAGGTATGGTAAGGTATGGTAAGGTATGGTAAGGTATGGTAAGGTATGGTAAGGTATGGTAAGGTATGGTAAGGTATGGTAAGGTATGGTAAGGTATGGTAAGGTATGGTAAGGTATGGGAAGGTATGGTAAGGTATGGTAAGGTATGGTAAGGTATGGTAAGGTATGGTAAGGTATGGTAAGGTATGGTAAGGTATGGTAAGGTATGGTAAGGTATGGTAAGGTATGGTAAGGTATGGTAAGGTATGGTAAGGTATGGTAAGGTATGGTAAGGTATGGTAATGTATGTAAGGTATGTAATGTATGTATGGTATGTAATGTATGTATGGTATGTAATGTATGTATGGTATGTAATGTATGTATGGTATGTAATGTATGTATGGTATGTAATGTATGTATGGTATGTAATGTATGTATGGTATGTAATGTATGTATGGTATGTAATGTATGTATGGAATGTAATGTATGTATGGAATGTAATGTATGTATGGAATGTAATGTATGTATGTATGTAATGTATGTATGTATGTAATGTATGTATGTATGTAATGTATGTATGTATTAATGTATGTATGTATGTATGTAATGTATGTATGTATGAATGTATGTATGTATGTATGTATGTATGTGTAATGTGTAATGTGTAATGTGTAGTGTGTAATGTGTAGTGTGTAGTGTGTAGTGTGTAATGTGTAATGTGTAATGTGTAATGTGTAATGTGTAATGTGTAAATAATGCAGTGTGCAATGTAATGTGTATATAGTGTAATGTGTAATCTAATGCGTAATGGAATATGTAATGTAATATGTAATGTAATATGTTATGCAATATGTCATGTGATGTGTAATGCAATATGTATATAGTGCAATGTGTAATGCAATGTGTAACGTAATATGTGATGTAATATGTAATGTAGTATGTAATGCAATATGTAGTGCAATGTGTAATGCAATGTGTAAGGTAATATGTAACGTAAGATTTTATGTACTGTAGAGTGTAGTATGTGATGTAGAATGTAATGTACTATGTAATGTCGTGTGTAATGTAGTATGTAATGTAATATGTAATGTAATATGGATTGTAATATGTAATGTGATGTAATGTGATGTAATGTGGTCTGAGGTAATGGAATGTAATGGAATGTAATGGAATGGAATGGTATGCAATGGAATGCATGGAATGCATGGTATGTATGGCATGTATGGCATGAATGGCATGTATGGTATGTATGGTATGCATGGTATGCATGGTATGCTCTGTTTGCATTGTCCTGTATATACTGTATGTACTGTGTGTACTATGTGGTATGTATAGTGTCTGGCATGTATGGTATGCATGGTATGTATGTAATGCTTCGTATGTATGGTATGTATGGTATGTATGGTATGCATGGTATGTACTGTTTGCATTGTCCTGTATATACTGTATGTACTGTATGTACTATGTGGTATGTATAGTGTCTGGCATGTATGGTATGCATGGTATGCATGGTATGCATGGTATGTATGTAATGCTTCGTATGTATGGTATGTATGGTATGATATGGTATGGTGCGGTGTGGTATGGCATGGTATGGATGATGGTATGGTATATGGTATATGGTAAATGGTATGTGGTATATGGTATATGGTGTATGTTATGGTATGGCATGCCATGGCAATGGCATGGGATGGAATGCCATGGCATGGCATGGTATGGTACGGATGGTATGGTATGGATGGTATGGTATGGACGGTGTGGATGGTGTGGATGGTATGGAATGGTATGGTATGGTACGGCACGGTACGGTACACTACGGCACTACACTACGGCACGGTACAGCACGGTACGGTATGGTATGCGCGGTATGGCACGTACGGTACTGGCACGGGTATTGGTATGTGTGGTGTGGTGTTGGTGTTGGTATTGGTGTTGGTATTGGTATGCTATGGTATTGGTGTGGGTATGGGTACGGGTTGGGTATTGGTATGTGTATGCGTATGGGTATGGTATGGTATGGTATGGTATGGTATGGTATTGTATGTATGTATGTATGTATGTATTAGTGTAATGTAATGTAATGTAATTTAATGTAATGTAATGTATGTAATGTAATGTAATGTAATGTAATGTATGTAATGTAATGTAATGTCATGTAATGTAATGTAATGTAATGCAATGTAATGTAATGTAATGTATGTAATGTAATGTAATGTAATGCAATGTAATGTAATGTAATGTAATGTAATGTATGTATGGTATGGTATGGTACGGTACGGTACGGTACGGTACGGTATGGTATGGTATGGTATGGTATGGTGAAACTTTATAGGCACTTTTTCCCCTGTTCTCCATGTATGGCTCAAGGCTCAAGATCTGGCCCAAGATGCCTGGTGTAAAAGAGGAACTTTGAGTCTTACTTAGGTAACCCCAGCACCTGCAGTCAAGACACTTTGCAACTGAAGATGCTCAGAGGAACTTCCGACGCATGTTGGTGGAGTTTGGTGGTGACAAGGCTGATGAAAAATCAGCACTTGAAGCTCACAAGAAAGCAGTTGTTCAACAACTTCAAGTTTTGGATCCAACCACTGGTCAACCTTATGTTCATGACATTTGGATTGAACTTCCTTTTGGATTCGGATTCATTATGTTCAACGGGATAGGCAGTTTAGTCCAAAAGACCAAGAACTTCCGGGACTTGGTGATGAACAGTTTACCATGATCGTGGATTCAGAAGCCCAAGAAGTTTGGTTGACACCACCGGCAATTGGAGACTTTCTGGCGACATTCTACTTCACGCATGTGTTGGAGCAACTTTCTTTTCAAAGAAAGACTTGGAGAAGCAGGAGATTCAACCTGAAGGCGAGTTTGACTTTGCGGCTCAGAAGCTCAAAGGATTTCCAGGACCCACGGGTCCCACTGAAAATGAAATACTTGAGCACAATTTGACTCACTTGCCATTTCGTTCATGGTGTCCACTTCGTGTCCAGTCGAAATCAAAACAAAGCCATAGCAAACCAACTTCCCTCTGGTTTGGTGAAGCTTAGGAAAGTTCTAGGTACCTTGAATCCTGCTGATTTACTTGCCAAAGACAATTAAAGACAGAAGTAGGTAAGGAAGTACTTTCCAGACACCTCTCCACTTTAGGGCTGACGCGCTCTCAACTTGCGGTAGCTTCCTTCACTGTTTTTGTACAGGTTTGGCCACTTCTATGATGACCCTAGCTCAGGTTTGGCCACGCCTATGATGACCCTAACTTTTAAGAGTTTAGAACCTTCACTTTGTCTGGCTCTCAGCTTTCTGAACTTTTGGTCACTTTTGCCACATGTGCACACTTGAAACGGGTAACTTCGAAGCGATTTACTTGCTTAAACTTGCAGCTTGCAACTTTTTCGCTGCAATGTGATGGCATTTTGACCTGGTTGCTGCACTTTGGATTTCTACAAATGGAACCACTTTTGTGCAATGATGGCCTTGCACTACTTTTCTACACACCGGGCCCACTAATGTGGAAACTTGGTGAGCTTGCACTACTTTATTTTCGAACAGCTGGAAAAAATTGATTTTGCAGCCGTATGGGAAATACTTTGATCAAGGGAATCTGGAACTACTTGTTGGTTCTCGTGATCCTTAATTTGTGGCATCACTTGTGCCAGAGAATCCCATCGATCAAAAGGCACTTTGGGACATGGTTTCCACACCGACTTTCGATCGGTACTTCTATTTGCTGGATTTGCCACAGCCTGTGAAAGTGGGATACGGTACCACATTGGACTGCCAAGACGATTTTTCATCGAGTGGTATGATGCGATTTGCCTATTCAAACTTGAGTGAGGTGCATTTTTGATCACCTTTGGACTGTCGAGTAGATTGCACATCCAATGGTGGAATTACATCCGAATTTGACACTGTTTCAATCACCTTTGGTCTGAGCGTGATGCGTTCTACCCAAAGATGATCTTAAATTGAAAAGCCGTCGGAGAATCACTTTTTTGCATACGAAGCAGCTGCATATTCTACAGTCGTGCTTTCCATCTTCTGAGAATGTCTAATTTGGGATGCGGAATTAGCTGGAAAGTGTTTTGGGAAACTTTTGAATGTGCTGAGATACTTTCGGACTGAACTGCATGTTGTGTTTCGACTTTGCTCGGATTAC